AATATTTGGGACCCGCAGCGCTGCTGCGGCTGAATCCACCTGCGAGCTGCCGGCAGCAGCCGGAGCTCTCCTGGCCGTGGCTGTCCCGCGGCTCTGCTGCAAATAAATCAAATATTACTCACTGAGCTTCCCGCCCGCCTGCCCTAAAGAAAACATTTTGCAAGAGGAAATATAGTATTCCGGAGGCTTATCTCACTTGGTGGCAATTGTGGGTGTATAATTGAAAACCGAGTTGATCATTAGAGGTTCACAGAGATGCTGAATAGCCCAGTGTTCAGTGGTCTCTGCCAGCCACGGCCAATTTACATTAAAGGCTTGATTCCTTCTCCAGCCCACTTCTCAGCCCCTGGGAAATCTCCTCGGTGCTTATTCCTGGTTTGCAAGGGCTGTCTAGTGCGAGGAAAAGCCTTGCCTGGCTCCTCTGCCGCTGCTCCCAGGCTGAGCCGGGATGTCCCTCACTGACAGCCCCAAAGCCGAGAGTCAGGCTTGACCCGCCGTTCCCTAAATGGTTACTTTTTAATGCAAAATTCCTTCCTTTTTTTTTTTCTTTTTTTTTTTTTTTCCCGTGAATGAGAGGAGCCAGAGGTGTGGTCTCCCGGGAACTGAAGAGAAAACTGGATTAGGGGCCAAGGAGCTACAAAGCGATCGGGGAAATTACACTTGTTTGGGAGCAAAGCGTAAATATTAGAGCGACAATAATAACAATAACTGCCTGCCGGGAGCCACAGAGCTTTAGGGTGGAGGATTAAATGTCATGTGCAAATGTTGTCATCTGTGCTGGCAGAGAGACATCAGTCCGGGAAGAGCCAGCGGTGCCTTCTTCCCTAATTCCCTTGGAACCGGCCTTTCTCCCCTTTCTCCGCGGTGTTTCTATGACCCTCCGAGCCAAGCAACGCGAGCCAAGTTATGGATCGGCATCCCTGCACAATCCCTCGCCCTCCCTCTTCTCTCTCTCACGGCAAAGAAGCGACCGCTGATCATTTTCGCCTGCCCGAGCCGGCCCTTCGGGAATTTGGGAATGCTCCGGGCTGGCTCCGCGGCGGCTCAGCTGCCGATGAACCTCTGCAAACGGGCGGGGGACAGCGGGGCTGCTGCTCCCCGCGCTGCGGGACCGGAGAGTCCCTGGGACGGGGAGAGCCGGAGGGGCCGCCGGGCCCGTGAGCGGCACAAGCGGCCTCCGGCGCTGGTACCGGAGACGTTTCGGCATCTCCCCGGGAACCGCAGCGGCACCCGCGGCCTCTCCTCGGTCGCTCCGCCCGGCTCCGGCCGCCGCTGCCCCCGCGCCCGCGGAGCGAAGTTCGGGGGGTTTGAGGCGAGCAGCCCGGCCCGCCCGCCGTGCCCGTGTTTCAAAGATCGCGGAGATATTTTCACACCTCAAACCGTCGCCCCCCTCTCCCCTCCAGCCCCCATCGCCTTGATTTAGCCCTTGGTAATTAATTTGGCATTTCAGAATAGCTACTGGGCTGGATAATGGCCTCATTCATCTCCCCAGCCTAATCTGAACAGAATCTGGAAGAAAAGCTTTCAGAAAGACAGAAACTGCCATTCGGCAACCGCTCAAAAGAACTGTCACTCCAGGGGAATAAATCGCTCCTGATTATTTCAACCCGGGTCTTCTCTGCTTTTCCAGCCGCTGCCGGTCCCGCCGGGGAACGGCCCCCCGAGAGCGGAGCAGGAGAAGAGCCGCTCGGGCTTTCCCCCTCCCTTCTCCGAGCCCGAGCGGTGCAGGGGGAGGTGGGCGAGGAGCAGCGCATTGTTCCCGGCGAGGAGGACGAGCTCCGGCACCCGAAGCCATTTGACTTTTAAAACAGGCTCCGAGCGCCGGGGCCGCCTTTCCCGCTGTCCCCGGTGCGGCTGAAATCAAGCCCATCCCGGTTCTCCGTCCCGGGGCTTCTCCCGGCCCAAACGCGGGGGAACGGGGACGCTCCGCTCTGCCCCGGCCCGGCCCGGCCCGGCCCGGCCCGGCCACCCTCAGCCCCTGGGCCCGCCCGTGCGGCGGCCGCGCTCCTGGGCAGGGAGCGGGAGACAGGAGATGAAGCTCCGGTGTGGTCCCAGCCGTGTTTCGTTCCCGGTGCAGGTACCGGAGATGCTCCGGTGCTGGTACCAGCAGTGTTCCGGCCCCGGCGCTGGTACCGGAGACGTTTCGGCATCTCCCCGGGGCTGACTTCGGCAAGGATCCGTCCCCTCCCGAGGCAGGACAGGGCCGGGGCTGGCTGGTGCTTCATGACAGGAAAATCCAGTTCGAGGAGGGGGGCGATCCGTGGAGGGCACGGGCTGGTTCCCGAGCATCCCCCGTTCCATCCCCCGGGCCCTGCCCCGGGAGGGCCCGGCAGACTCGGGCCCGGGCCCGGCGAGCTGCGCCTCGGTCCCGCGGAGCTGCTTACGTGCGTTTAATAGCTCGAGGGCGAGGTAATTAGAGGAGAAAGCCTCAGTAAATCACGTTAATGACCGCAAGAGCCATTAAAAACCCCGGGGGTTGTGAAACACCGAATAAACCCAGCGAGAAGGGCAGGCGGGAGGCGAGAGCCGCAGCCCCGGGAACGCCGGCGGGCAGCGCGGAGCCCCGCGCTCGGCAGCGCCGGGAGGTTGTTAAATTAACACCCTGCTAATGGGATTAGGCAGCACCTCGGCTTTGCGGGGAGTTCCTCGGGGGCCAGCTTTCCTTACATTCACCCCAAGTTTTGCTGTGAGGCGGTGAAGGACCGTGCGGGCTTTGAGGAGCCACCAGGCGACCTTTAGAAGCCCTCACGGATCCTAAAGGAACGCTGACATTTCAGCCCTGCCCTGCGCCCTGGGGGCACTCCCTGGCCGCGGTCGGGCCGGCGAGAGGTCCTGGAGCGTCAGGAGCACCCGGAGCCAGACCCGCATCTTCCCCCGGCAGCGGCACCTGCCGCGCCCCGAGCGGGCCCGCGAGTCCCTCCCGGCCCAGGAGCCGCGCCCGGTCCCGTCCCTGCGCCTCCCCGGCACGGCCCGGGCACGGAACCCGCGGCGGCAGCTGGTCCCGGGCACGCGTGGCCGAAGGAAAAGCGCCGGGCGAGCAAAGCGGGGAACGGCAAACGCCGAGCGGAGGGGCTGATGGAGGCACCTGCAGGGCTCTGAGGGCCCGAGCCTGGGCCGGCGATGTCCCGGGGCTTCTCGCAGCCCTGTCCCGGCCTGCCCCACGGTCCGGGACAGCTTAGCCTAAATTATCCCACTCCCTCCTTGAGGTGCCCTCCCAGAGCTGGAGAGGAGCACACACCCCCATCCCAGCTCTGCAAATAGGAGCGCGATCCTTGAGTGGGGTTAAAACTTTCTCCGGGGCTGGGGGATGCCGGGGCTGCCCGTGAGTGTCCCGGCCTGCGGCCGAGCCCCGGTGGCTCGGTGGGAGCAGAGGGACCGGACCTCTCCCGGCCCGGGCCGGCCGCATCCCCACCCGCGCAGTCCCCTGCTCTGCCCCGGCGATGGAGGGCGCCGGCAGCGGCCGGAGGGGCGGATTCCCGGGGAAGAGTTAACAAATCCCGGGAGCGGCGGGGCTGGGGGGCGGCTGGGGGGGGGTCCGGGGGGAGCGATGGGGGCAGGGAGGCTGCGGAGCCCCGCTGCCCTGCAGGGAAGGCGGTTGCATTGCCAAAGACGCCCCGCTGGGCTAGCAGGCCCGGGAGCAGATTAATCAGGCACTAATTCAATTTACAACAACCACTTTTATTCAGCTCGGTGGCAAGGAATTCAAAGCGGGGAGAGGGGCGGGAGGAGAGGAGGGGGCGGAGGCCGGCCCGGGGCTCGCTGCTGCCCGGGCAGCCTCCGTCCCCTCGGGCCGGGCTCTCCGGGGAGGGGACCGCGCCGCCGTGCCAGGGCCCGGCCGCTTGAGTGACACGGCGTGGGCAGCGCTCCGAGAGAGGGCACCTCCGTTGGAAAAATAAAAGTGCCCTTTTAATCAAAGAGGGAGGGAAGGGGGGCGAGCGGGGCGGCCGGGAGCCGAGGCAGGGAAACGCCGCTCCCGCCCGGGACCGTCTCTCCGGGCTGTCGGTACCGTCCCCCGGGGCTGTCCCCGGCCGGGATGGCAGCGGCAGGAGCGGAGCCCGAGCGGGGCCGGGGGGCAGCGGCCGTCGGGGGCGGCCCCGCGGCACCGGGGGTCCGCCGGTGGGTGGGAAGGGGAGAGCGGGGCTGGGCCACGGCCCGGTGTGGGACAAGTGCCGCCCTTTAACCCCTTCCTCGCCTTAACGGGAGAGCCGACAGACTGCAGAGCGAGGTGAGGGGCGGCAAGAGGCGCCGCGCAGCCCCTTGTGCCCGGTCTGTCCGGGCGCTGTGATAGAGACACTGCCCCTCTTCCCCGAGATCTGCCTCCTAAAGGCACCTGCCGAATGTCGCCAGCCCCGGCAGTTCCCGTGCTGTTTCCCCCCGCTACACTTCCCCGGCACCGGGTTCCCTGTCCCAGGGCTGCGGGAGCCCCCTCGGGCCCGTGTCCCTTCCGATCCAGCTGAGGGGCCAGTGCCTGTCTGGCCCGGAGGACAGGCGAGGCCAGCAGGGACCAGGTGGGAGATGTCCCTATCCTGATCGCCCCGCTGTCCCCACAGGTGGGCGTGGGGCTCCTCCCGGCCGCTTCCCCCCCGTCCCGCTCCACGCCCACGAGCATCCCCAGCTGCAGGGTGCGGGGTCCGACTCCCCCAGCCCCGTCGGGGGCACGGGGGGCGGCGGGAGGACGAGGGCCCTGGCCCGGCTCCTCGCGCGGCTCCTCGGGCGGCTCGGGAGCCCCGCGGCGGAGCTGGCGCCCATCACCGCCGTGTCGAGGCGGGCTCCGTCCCACTCCCATCCCCCCCCCGCCCTCCCCGAGGCCTGTGCGCGTCTCTGGCTGAGCCGCCAGTGGATGTCGTTGTTCTGTTCCTTGAGCGCGATGTCACTCCTTTAGCATGACCTCAAACGCGGCGGGGGCTGGGACCGCCAGTCATTCTCCGTGCGAGGGCCGGGGCGGGAGGCAGGCGGGACCCAGCCCCGCCGCCAGCCCCACTTTTGTGGTGCCGCCGCCGTCGCGGTCTCCCCTTTCTCCGCGGGGCTGGCCGCGGGGCGGGCGATGCTCCGGGCTCCCTGAGCCGCCGCACCGCGTCCCCGGCCGAGGTGCCCCGCGGAGCGGCGCGGTCGAGCGGCGGCTCCCCGGTCTGCCCCGTGTCCCCAGGCCGCGCGGAGGTCGCGCAGGATGGCGCGGAGGGGAGCGGAGGCGCCGCTGGCCCTGCTGCTGGCGGCGGCGTGGCTGGCGCAGCCCCTGCGCGGCGGCTACCACGGCGTGAACATGTTCGCCGTGCAGAGCGCCCAGCCCGACCCCTGCTACGACGAGCACGGGCTGCCCCGCCGCTGCATCCCCGACTTCGTCAACTCGGCCTTCGGGAAGGAGGTGAAGGTGTCCAGCACCTGCGGGAAGCCGCCGTCGCGGTACTGCGTGGTGACGGAGAAGGGCGAGGAGCAGGTCCGCACCTGCCACCTCTGCAACGCCTCCGACCCCAAGCGCGCCCACCCGCCCTCCTTCCTCACCGACCTCAACAACCCGCACAACCTGACCTGCTGGCAGTCCGACAGCTACGTCCAGTACCCCCACAACGTCACCCTCACCCTGTCCCTCGGCAAGAAATTCGAGGTGACCTACGTCAGCCTGCAGTTCTGCTCGCCGCGCCCCGAGTCCATGGCCATCCACAAGTCCATGGACTACGGCAAGACCTGGGTGCCTTTCCAGTTCTACTCCACGCAGTGCCGCAAGATGTACAACAAGCCGAGCCGCGCCGCCATCACGAAGCAGAACGAGCAGGAGGCGGTGTGCACCGACTCGCACACCGACGTGCGGCCCCTCTCCGGCGGCCTCATCGCCTTCAGCACCCTGGACGGCCGCCCCACCGCCCACGACTTCGACAACTCGCCCGTGCTGCAGGACTGGGTGACGGCCACCGACATCAGGGTGACCTTCAGCCGCCTGCACACCTTCGGCGACGAGAGCGAGGACGACTCCGAGCTGGCCCGCGACTCCTACTTCTACGCCGTGTCCGACCTGCAGGTCGGCGGGCGCTGCAAGTGCAACGGGCACGCGTCGCGCTGCGTCCGGGACCGCGACGACAGCTTGGTGTGCGACTGCAAGCACAACACGGCCGGGCCCGAGTGCGACCGCTGCAAGCCCTTCCACTACGACCGGCCCTGGCAGCGAGCGACGGCCCGGGAGGCCAACGAGTGCGTGGGTGAGTCCCGGCCGCGGGCGCGGACACCGGCGCGGCGGGAGGAGGATGGGGATGGGGCGCGGAGGTCCCCGGAGGGGAGGCAGGGGGAGGGCAGAGCGAAGGAGCCGCGGGGGACGGCAGCGAAAGGCACGGGGACATCCAGGGACACGCCGAGCAGCGCGGGGACAACCGGGGACACGGGGAGCCGTTCGGGGACACGCAAAGACGCGGAGAACGGGATAGAAGGAGGACGCTGAGGTACCGGAGAGCGTAGGGGTGAGGACGGGACACCGAAGGACCTCGGAGCGCGGGGCGAGGATGCGAAGGCACTCGGGGGCGCAGGGGATGGGGCACTGAGGCGCCCGGCAGCTCGAGGCAGGGGACACTGAGGTGCTCGGGAGATCGCTGGTGACAACACCGAGGGACCTCCAGGTGCAAAACGGCGGGCACGGGGAGCCTGGGACCACCGGGCAGGGCACAGGAATTTGGGGCAGGGAATACCGAGAGCCGCAGGGGACGGGGACACCGGAGGCACCCGGCGGCGCAGGACGGGGCTAGCGGGGGACTCCGATGGGCAGAGCAACGGGAAGCTCGGAAACGCGAGGCAGGAAAAACCAAGGAGCTCAGGAGAGGGGATAAGGGGCGTTCAGGATTCCGGGAAAACGCCGGTCGTGTCCGCAGGAGCGCGCAGGGCCCTGGCCCGGGGGGGCCCGCAGCCCGCGGCCCGGCTCCGGTCCGGGATCCCGGAGCTCGCGGGCAGCCCCGCTCTCTTCCCCGGGACACGGCTCAGGGCCGCCACGAGCACGAGAGGCGCCGCGAACGGGCGGGACGGGGACCGGGACGGGGACCGGGATGGGGACCGGGATGGGGACGGGGACCGGGACGGGCTCTGGCCCCATCCGGAGAGGGAAGGCGGCCGGGAGCAGGGCAGGGAAGCCCGGCAAAGCCTCCAGCTCCCGTCGCTGCACCCTCAGGAGCTGCGGGCGGCCCTGGGAGGCGGCGGCGGGGACTTGAAGGGGCCCCAGGACCAAGTGAGAACCGGGCAGCAGCCGGTTAGTTCCGTCTGGAGCGAGAACCACGCGCCGTGCTGGCTGTCCCGGGCGGACAGAGCGTCCCTCTGTGCCTGAGGCGAGGGGAACAAGGGTTAAGGGTTCGGGCAGCTCTTCCCCGTGAGTCCCCGCACATCCCGCCGAGCGTTCCCGCCGATCTTCCACCCCCGCTTCCCATCGGGATCCCGCGGGCTGCCGCGCCTCTCCTCGCGGTTTAGGGGGCCGGGGCTCAGCCGTGCGCCCGTGGGGACCCGGCCCCGGGCTGGGATGGCCCCGGCTGGGCTCTGCTCCCCGCGCCGGGACCCCCCGGCCCCGCGGAGCGCAGCCCCGGCCCCGCCGCCGCCGCCGCCGCCGCCTTGTTTACACGGAAAACACGGCCCCGTCTTCCAAAATATTTGCTGCTCCGACTATAGGAAAAAACCCTCGCCGAGCGGCCGGGCTTGGCCGCCTTTTTTTTTTTTTTTTTTTTTTTTTTTTTTTTTTTTCTTTTATTTTGTTTTCTTTCCCTTCTTTTCATTTTTTATTTTTTTTCCCCCAAATCACAATCAGATGTGTGCCTTGCGGAGAGCGCAATGTCTTCACCGGGGAGGCACGGCCAAGCCGGGTTATCTGGCGGGGAGAGGGGCCCGGTGGCACCGGGGCACACGCGGCGGCGGCTCCGGGGTCCCGGCGGCCTCGGGGCGATGCTCGGCCCCACCGCGGAGCCGCCGCTGCCCCGGGACGGGGGAAGCGGGCGGGAGATGCCGCGTCCCGAGGGAGAGCGGCGGTGCCCCGAGGCTGCCGGGCTCAGCTCCGGGTTTGCTTTTCCGCCGTCCCGCGGCTCCCGCTGCCCGGCAGCGCCCGGGGACGGAGCTCCGCGTCTCGCTCACTCCCCAGCGCTGTCTCTTGCCCAGCAGCGGGGCCTGGGGGGCAGGAGGGGTCCGGCTCCCCCGGCCTCAGCCCCGCTCCCTGCCTGCAGAGCCGCCGCTATCAGCGATGCCGTAAATTTTGGGGCGGTGTCGAGGCGCTATCGGACCCCCGGTCTACTCTGCAGGACCCCCGAAGTCTCCTGAAAACGCTTCTATTCAGTTATTGTGCTGGCGCCGTGCTCCTACCATCCTTCTCCCTTCCAGTGTATTTCCAATAAAAGGGAAGCGAGTTCCCGGTTTCCAGTAAAATATGTCACTTTTATGCCAGGCTTTGCATTTCAGACCATGTGCAGCCCTAGCCGCGTCAGACTTCTGCAAACGAAAATCGCTGTTTTTTCCTTTTCCACCGGCTTTGCTGGGAAGTGTGGGAAGTGAAGGTTTTGCGAGGACGGAGCTACCGTAAAACAATTTTCCGCAGCCCAGTCCGGCTGCTCCTTCCCCGGGGCCGCACCTACCAGCCTGCAAAAGCCCGCGCTGCCCTGCCAAGCCCACAGCGCCTGGAACAATCCCCGCAGATAAAGATCACAATAACCCCATTCAACTCCCACCCACTCGCTCATGACCGTCGGCCCACCCTGGTTTCTCTCCCAAATCCCAGAGAAAGTCAGGCGGGGGCAGCAGGGCCGGGGCGAGCGGCCGGAGAGCTCCGGGAAAGGGGCATCAGCCAAAGCGGCTGAATTTGCACCCAGTAGCGCTGGGAGAAACGGTTCCTTTTTTTTTTTTTTTTTTTTCACACTGAATTTACTTTTTGTCCTTTCTGGAAAATCGTTGGGAGTTTTGCTTTTATTTTTCTTTTCATCCAAAGAGAAAAATTATAGAATGTGTCTGCTTTGCTTAAAAATTTGGGTGTTTTTTTTGGTAAGGCCATTCCCCCTGCCAAAACTGAATCTTTGTTCCTATTCATGCTTATTTGGGGGTGAAAAAGAAATGCTCTGGAGTTTCTGACAGAAAGTCAAAATTTCCCATGGGAATGCTTTTTGTCAGCCAGATCGAATTTTTCTCTATAGCTCCTTGCGAGATCCCAGCACTGCACGTGGAGAGGACAGGGCTTGTCCCAAGGAGATGTTCTCCAGGGATCTGCTCCTGCTGAGCTTTTCACAGCTTCAGGTTCCCATCAGCTTTACCTGGCAAGGAACTCATCCACGTAGAGCTTGGCCTTGGGTCCGCTTTGGCCGGGCGCCTGGGAGCCGAGAGCTCCAGGGAGGACTCGGCTTGGAGAGAGCTCGGAGGTCTGTTCTCCATCCTGCCTCTCTCCAGCGCCGCTGGGCCGGCTCTGTGCTCAGCACTGCTCCGGCCCAAGCCCCCTTCTCCAGCTCAGCTTGTCCTGATGCAGCTTCCAGCTCCCCCAGGAGAGGAACTGCAGCTGGGAAAGGTCTGGACTAAAACGCTGTCAGAGCTCAGCTGCTGGTGAGCTCGTGTGGACACAGGAAAATGCAGGCGGGGTCTTTAATCAGATTTAACGTCACTAAAACACCACGGGTACCATTCCACAATTTCTCCAGAGCCACGGTGTCGTTCAGAGCACCGGGAAGGAGCTGGACAAGCGGCCTCCCTCCGGTTTGCACAGAGCACCTCTGCCTCTGCCTGGGCTGAAGCTTTAGCCGAGCTCAGGCTGCGTGCCCTGACAGGCACTTGGAGAAGTCCAGACCCCATTCCAAAGGCGGCTCTGGAGCCCCCAGCTCTCCCCACGGAGCCAGGAGATGCTCCCACACCTGCAGGTGTTCCTGGCGGCAGCGCTGGCCGCAGGTGCCGGGCGCCGCTCGGGTTTTGGCCTCTGCGCTGCCTCCAGAGCGTTTCACAAAGGCGGGAGCGAGCGCAGGGGGAGAAAGGAAACGCATTGTGCTCCCAGATAGGGGATTTGGCACGGGCAGCACGGGGAGCTGGTGTTGGACAGGCTCTGCTGCGCTGCCGAAGGGTTCCCAGGCTGGGATGTGTCTCATGTCAGAGCAATTTCCGAGCAAGTTCTTATTCAGCGGAAAGGAAACTGCTCCTCGGACGAGGAGTGGACCAGGAGCTCTGAGAGAAGCGCCCACCAAACACTCCCAATGAAAAACTTCCTTCCAGTCAAAGCCGGGCCTTTGCCACCTCCGTGGTGGTCCAGGGAGGCGTTTGCAGGGCAGGGATTGCTAAAATAGCAAAGGGGGCCCTGCACCCTCATCCCAGCCGGGCAAATCAGATCCTCCCACACAGCCAGCTCCTCTCGCTCTGCTCCCTCACAGGATGGGAGGGATTCATGCCAGGGAGTTCCTGGTGTGCCTTATTAAAATCAGGTGCTCCCTTTCCTTTTTCCTGCATTAATCACCTCCACCTCAAAAGCTTTCCCAGTTCCCATCCTGTAACCATTTTCCCTGGGTTGGCACAGTGGGATATCAGGGAGCCTCAGGAGATGATCCTTTCCCATTCTCCTTGGCCTCCAAATGGAAGAAGGACTCGAGCTGGTGGTGGCTTTGGCTCTGTCCCACTGGACAGTCCCTGCAGGAGCTGCTTGGGAGCCAGAGCCTCTCTGCAGGGTCCCGGCACCCCCGAGCCTGGCAGAGCAGGGAGCCGGGGCGAGGCCTGGGCCACCAGGGGCTGCCAGTGGCTCACAGGGGCCAGGATGCCTCGGACGGGAAGGGCTGGGCTGGTGGGGGGTGTCCTTTCTGTCTGCTCCTCTCCCGTGGTGGCTCAGGGCTCTGCAGATGGCTTATCCTGAGGGGGACAGAGGGACAGGGGGACAGAGGGACAGGGGAACAGGGGAACAGAGGCTCTGGCTGCAGCAGTGGGAAGGGGAGTGTGGGTGAGGCTGGCAGAACTGGCAGGGACCTGCTGGCACAGGGGCACCAACCCCTGCACCCTCTGCCCCTTCAGTTCCCCGGTGGGATGCGAATCAGGCAGAGGAACAAAGTGTTTCTGCAAATCCCTCTGAGGAGAAAAGGAGTCTGAGTGTCCCCTTGGAGAAACAGCCACACTCCCAGCCTGGGCAGAGGGCTCTGAGCAGGATCCCCAGGCTGCTCCTGCAGGAGCCCCAGGGTCCCACAGAGGCTCCCCGGGGTCCCACAGAGGCTCCCCAGGGTCCCACAGAGGG